TGACAGCCATCCAATTTATGTTTAGTTTATATTTAAAATGAATCATATGTTCTAAAATGACTGACAGAAACACAGCTTTGTTTCTGAAGCCAACTCTTCTCCTTCATTTCTGGTCATCGTTCAGAGCTTTAACAGAATTTCATGGTGCTCAAATGCATTCATCCGTGACAACAACAAATGCTAATTATCATAAAAATAAATAGCTCCTGTTAGCATCATTTTAAGACTTTTTCCTACTCTACACTATATTTCATATATTCTCCCATCTATTTTGGGTGTGGGAACAAAAACTGAATGAAAGTATAATTAGCATGTATCAAAAACTGGACAGCTCAACAATACTAAAATGAAATAAATGGGAGGAGTCGTGTACACAGTAAACAAATCTGAAAAGGGAAAAAATGAGACAACAAAATGGCATACGCGTGTCCTATAGTAAAACGTTGATAACAAGCCCATAATAGAGTTAATAATGTTTATCTTCCTGGGTCTGGGGAAGTGATCATTTCAGTGTGCAGTCCTGGCTGTAAGCAGATTCCCCCAGCTATCAAATAGTAATCCCATTTACTTGTGACATTTACTCGTTTTTTCAATTCTAGCATTACAATTTCACTTTGAGATTTTAAAATATAAATAAAAAGACACAGTTTGCTTTCATATATTTATGAATGCATTTCAAAGGGCCTCTTCTGCCTATTCTATCATGTAGAAGAATCAAGAACACCCAAGGTCTCAAAGTGCTTTAAGTTGAGACAACAAATGACCAGTTGCAAATGCAATTAACTCATTAAGAGTAATTAAAAGAACATGAATAATCACATGTCCCCAATTGTCAGTTAGAAGCTAAACAAGGGCATGTAGCAAGTGATTAATCAATATTTATTGAATTAAATGTTGCATAAAATAGAACATTAATAAATTTTCCCCTGGGGAATTTTCAAAGCACACATAATTATAAATACTTCTGTAATGACTCTAAATGAACATTAGTAATTAACTAATCAAAAACTTTTGAAAATTCCAACTATCTATGTCACCTTCAAAGCAATTATAATGGTGAAGCTCTTTTAAATAGTAATTTAAATTATTTCGATAAATTTAATCTTGAAGTCAGGATTCCACTAAAGTGCATAAGGCTAACTAACTATACATACATTTTCTCTAGTTACATTTCCTTCAATAACATAAGAATTTAAGTATAATTTAGAGCAGGGAAAGATCAATTGCATGTGAAACTTTAGTGACACATGTGACGGGTGCAGAGGTCAGCTGCTGTAGTCTCAGCAGCCTGAGGGGCGGATGCAGAAAGGGTCACAGTTGGAGCCTGGTCTGGGCAATTTAGTGATGTAAGGAGACCCTGGCTCCTAAAAGAAAGGAGAAGAGGGGAGGGAGGGAGGCACATGGTTCACAGAGAAGGCCCTAGACTAAATCCCTAGCATGGCAAAACAAACAAACAGACAGAAAAGCACATACAATACACAAAGTAGACTAAAATAGTAATTAACCCTATATCCGCATACATTTTAAACTTCTGTGCTTTTTTCCTACTTTGAGGAATTTTAATAACAAGTAATCACAAAATGTAACAATGTAAGGATACATGTGTGTATGTGTATGTTTGTATATGGAAACATGAAGGCTCCTGCACATATGAAGACACATGATATTTAGACAGTATACATTTTGGATTATATGAGGACAGAATGAAAGTAACCTATGGACTCACAATGCATGTATATCCAATTTTTATGTTTCTGTGTATGACAGTCCACAAGCACAAATGGGGCTGTTTGTAACTAGGATTGTCTAGAGCACTACACATTACACAATTCCAGAGAAGCATATGCAATGTGTGTATATATATCACTAAAACCTTAGCATACAGAACTTCATCAACGACAACAAGGTAGTGACATGAGACTAAAACATACTACGACAAACTTATTGGCTGAAATTGAGCTGAAAGATACTGAGGTTATTTCAAGAAATTTTACTGATAAAAGTGTAAGTTAAATTTATTCGTAAATATTTCAAATTTTTTAATAACAAAGACATAATTACTAATTTGTATGTGGACTCACTCTTAAATAATTAAAACATTTAAAATAATTATCTTCCTTATTTTTCTAACCAAGTAAATTGCTGCTTACAAGAGTTCCTATCTATCCATTTCCAGTGATCAATTTTATTAGTAAATGGACATATTTCTGCATAGAGCTCTATATCTTATAGTACACATGTCAATGAAGTATGTTCCTCGCACACTTAGGGGCAATTTACATTCAAATGTATACTGACCTCAATGTAAATATAATAGTATAGTGAGGGTCTAAAATAAAATATTTTATATTCTAGTTTAAATAGCACTACTTAGGCTATTGAAAATAACTTGAAGTCAATTATCATTCTCCAGCAAGCAGAATGGTTCTTTCACCAATATGACTGTCAACAAACATTGAATTTAGTCTTACTGTTTACTTCCTTCTATTTCTGAGAGTTGTTTGTGACTAGTAACTAAAGGTACCATTCATATTAGAAAATAACAGCATATTTTAAAATGCAAATGCACAGATAAATATTTTTGAAGATGCTAAAATAAGTACTACTTAATAAAGGACATTTTCTAAATCCCTAAGTGGTATCTGCACAAAACATTTCTAACATTCTTGAGTAAATGAATGGATTTTACACTGTCCCACATTTGAGAAAAATAACCTTTTAAACCTCAACATGCCTTACAAATGTGGAATTTATTATTTTTCATATGCATCATTTTCATTAAAGAGACAGACAAAATGTGAAGGCTAAATTGTAACTATCTCTACTAGTTTCGCTGTTGGCCAGTTAAGAGGCTTTGCTATGGCTTTGCCCTTAACCCAGAAGAAAAATTATTTTAAAAATATTTCAGTATTATATTTGCAGATTGCCATCATTTGTCCAATCCATAGGTCAAACCACCTGATCTTTCACAGAAATAGAAGTACTTGTACAAATACAAAGAGGGAGTATCTGATTCAGCTATTGGTTAGAGTGAATGGAATTATGGTCAGCATTTGATTCCAAACCTCTTGCTATTCCTTTAATTTTAAAACAATCAAACAAACAAAATATTTAAGCAAATGCAAAAGAGTTGAAATCATCCCTTGCATATTATCGGATCATAGCGCTCTGAAATTAGAAATTAGATGACAAAGGATACTGCAAAAATTCCGCAAACACATGGAAACTAAATAACACACTCTTGAGTAATCAGTGGGTCACAGAAGAAATTAAAGAAGAAATTAAACAATACCTAAAAGAAAATGAAAATGCAGATACAACTTACCGGAATCTGTGGGATGCAATGAAAGCCGTTCTGAGAGGAAAATTTATTGCACTGAGTTCCCACATCAGGAAAACAGAACGAATACAAATAAATAACTTGATGCTACATCTCAAACAGCTAGAAAAAGAAGAGCAAGTCAAGCCCAAAGCCAAAAGAAGAGAGGAAATTATAAAAATCAGAGCAGAAATCAATGCAATAGAGACTAAGAAAACAATCCAAAGAATCAACGAATCAAAGAGTTGGTTCTTTGAAAGAATAAATAAAATCGATAAGCCCCTAGCCAACCTTATTAAAAAAAGGAAAGAAAAAGCTCAAATTCATGCAATAAGAAATGAAAAAGGAGAAATCACTACAGACCCAATAGAAATACAGAGGATCATCAACACCTATTTCGAAAACCTCTACTCTCAAAAGTTTGATAACACAGAAGAAATAGACAGATTCTTAGAAGCATATGAAGTACCAAAGCTAGATCAAGAGGATATAAAACTGTTGAATAACCCAATCTCTGCTAATGAAATTGAGAATGTAATTGGGTCCTTGCCCACCAAGAAGAGCCCAGGCCCAGATGGATTCACTGCAGAATTCTACAAGAAATATAAAGAAGACCTAATGCCGACACTCCTCAAACTAGTCAATGAAATTGAAAGGGAAGCAATCCTTCCTAAGTCATTCCTGGAAGCAAATATTACTCTAGTACCAAAACCTGAGAAAGACCCAACTATAAAAGAGAACTATAGACCGATCTCCCTAATGAACACAGATGCAAAAATCCTCAATAAAATATTGGCAAATAGGATCCAGCAAATCATCAAGAAGATTATACACCATGACCAAGTGGGATTCATCCCAGGAATGCAAGGATGGTTCAACATACGCAAATCAATAAATGTAATCCACCATATCAATAAAGCCAAAAATAAGAATCACATGATCATCTCTATAGATGCAGAAAAAGCCTTCGATAAGGTCCAACACTTAATCATGATAAGAACTTTACAGAAAATTGGAATAAATGGTCTTTACCTCAATATAATAAAGGCCATTTATGACAAACCAACAGCCAGCATCATACTAAATGGCCAAAAATTGAAAGCCTTTACTTTAAAATCGGGTACAAGACAAGGATGTCCTTTATCACCACTCCTATTTAATATAGTACTGGAAGTACTAGCCAGAGCAATTAGGCAAGAAAGAGAAATAAAAGGGGTAAAGATAGGAAAAGAAGAAGTTAAATTATCATTGTTTGCAGATGACATGATACTCTACATAGAAGACCCCCTAAACTCCATTGAAATACTCTTAGATACAATAAATAAATTCAGTAATGTGGCTGGATACAAAATCAATACTCAGAAATCAATAGCATTCCTATACACGAACAACAAAATTACAGAGAGGGAAATAAGAGAAACTGGACTATTCACATTAGCAAGCAAAAAAATGAAATATTTAGGAATTACTCTTACGAAAGAAGTGAAAGACTTATACAGTGAAAATTATAATACACTGAAAAAGGAAATTGAAGATGATCTCAGAAAATGGAAAGACATCCCTTGCTCATGGATAGGAAAATAGTCACAAAGAAATAAAAGAACACAGGAGTCCTCTGGAAATGTGAAGTGGGACCCAGAAAGCCATGCATCTGAACCCCAAGGCTGCTGATTCCTCTTACCAGTGCTGTCGTCATACACAACTGTGACGGTTTTCCACTTGAAGAACTGCACCAGGTCTAAGATGGCACGGCTGAGGGACGAGAAGTCTGGGTAGAGACTGACGTAGAAGGAGTCCTTGTTATCCGACACCTGGTGCTTCCAGCGGGTCTGAATGTGGGGCACACCCAGGGCATTGCAGATGGACTGCACTGCGTTTGCCGAGGAGCTGTGTGAGGGCCCAAAGATGGCAGCCACGCCAAGGGACAGCTGATCGCAGGCTGCAAGGAGCGAGAAGTCTGTTAGCCAGCAGAGAAAGCGGCATCACTAAAACCCAAAGACATCGGCCTGAACCGAGATTTTGTCTGTAATATGACACCTACAGATCATTAATTTTTGCATTTTGTCTCACACTGTACATTTTCACTTGTTACAGAATTAATTCACTGAATTGCTTGTATCTTAATGTCAGGGAATTTGTAATTAACGTCAAGGTTGTGGCCTAACGATGTGGCTCAGCCCTAGTGCTTTTACCTGGCATGAACAAAGCCCTGGGTTCCATCCCCAGCACCACAAAAAAAAGGGGTCAAGGTAACAAAGAAAGGTGAAAAGAAAAAAACAATTTTTTTTTTAAATTAAGGGAGGAAATGTTTATTCAAGCAATTTATCAGTGAGATGGAAAAACAGTGTGACTTCTTAAATTCTCCGATTATCCTTATAATTTTAAATTCTTAATCCAAAGCCATTTGATCTCATACAATTCTTCCCATACAATTAGCTATGGCCAAGCAAAGGTAAAGATTATACACAGCCCATGACACAAGTTCAGTTCTATGTGCCAACATGTGCAAGACTTGCTGTAGCACTGGAGGGTGATTCCATACTGATTAAGTTCACTGAGGAGAAAGAACTCTAACATGATTAGATATCCGGTTATCTTGATATGCCTGCCTTTTCAATGTTATACATCTTTTATGTTATCCTTATTTATTTAGTTATTTAGCTCAGGTCTTGTTAGGCTGGCCTGGAACTCCCAGTGCTCTTCCTGCATTACCCGCTCAAGTGCTGGGATCACAGGGATGTGCTTAAATTAGTCTGTACCCACCGGAAATATAAACAAAGGAGAAGACATTCAGATTAAAACAGATTGGTGTCAAGACTTGAAATTCTGTAAGGAACGCTGCAGTAAATGTTGACTTTGGGCTAGAAAATAAGTAACAGTTGGAAACATGAAAATTATCTTTATCTGAAGATCTAGTCTGGGACATAAATTTGTTTCACTGAGTGATGAAGGAGGAGTCAGGATAAATGTTTAGAAGCTCCTCATGAAGTTTTCCCATTTAAATGAACAAACTGTAAACTAAAAAATGTCTAAAAATGACATAATTTGCCAATGGTTTTGAGGTCGGGTAGGAGAAATACTGATACAAAGGCAACAAGTAAGGGAGACTTTTTGTCTCCTTTCATCCTCATCTGGATCAGATTCCTGCTCAACACCTTAAGAGGCTTGCTCTTCCATCAGGGAATGAATGCTTGCATTATAATGTCTATTTGTTTTCAATTTTCCTAATCTATCACATCCGCCTTGGTGGCAGAGGTCACCAAGAGTCACTAAAGTAATTTTCAGAGTTTGCAGGCTGCTTCTAAATCCTCCTAGAGTGACACCTAGAAGCCTCTGAAGCTGTGATCACCTCAGGTTCTACATAAAGTGAAACTTGGCGGAGCATCCCAAGATGACACTGCTTCCTCCAAGGAGAAGCATCTTCCCAGTGAGGACAGGGGGACCGACTCCATCCTACCTCTCCAAGGGTTTCAGGCACTTGAGTTAGTTAGAAACAGCAGTCAGACAGGGTTGGACCCTTGAAGGAGCTAGTGCAGAAGACCAGATACCTTGCAACCTTGGAGAAGACAAACTACCTCTGCTGAAGACCAGATCTCAAGACAGAAGGCAAAACAAATGCAACCACATCCATAATATAAACATCAGGGGCTGATATTCTGCATAGGTATGGAGCACCTTAAGAAAGCCAAAAGTCACCATCCCAACCTCCTACAGGAAGAGTCACTGCTGTTAAGCATGCCTGCTTCCTATGTGACTCACTTCCCTGTTTGTCCCGGAAATGGTCAATTTTACCTGAACAATTAATCTTATTGGTTGATCATAGTTCTGCCCCACCTTATGCCCATCTGTCTTGTGAATGCCCATGTTTTTTCCATCTTGGACCTGTCTCACCATGTGGTTTTACTCTATAAAAGTTCCTAGTAAAGATATTTTGGTAACCCATTAGGGACCTCTTGTGTCTCTCTCTGAAACAAAAGCTTTCTTTCTCTCAATAAATATTTCTGCTCCTAATCTCCATTGTTCCAAAAAGTTATTCTTCAGATTTAGAGAACACAGACTCAGGAACTGGTACTGGTCATCCAGTAGGTTGAGAGTTTCATTCTTCTGTATCATAAGGACAATTGTTTCATAAGAACCAAGTTGCACAAGCAATAAGGGTTCCCCTGGGACCACAGCAACCAGAGCAGAGGAATTAATGGACCTAAATTGCTTTAGTGGCCCGGCTGTCTAAAGCTCTGCATGGCAGTGTGCCCCACCTCGTTATTTTTAATTGTAGTCTTTTTCTTATTCTTCCTTATTTTCTAACTCAGCCTCATAAATCTGCATGACTCTTCACACTGGATGCATCTCAAATTCTTGTTCCATGAGTTAAGAACTTACTACCTATTTTGTGGAGGGAGTGAAGTCCTTGTCACTTATCTGAGAGACCCCGCTGGACCAACACCAGTATCTGTTTTTCCATTATACTTAACAAGAGCACTATTATTTAGGGTTTGAACATAAACTAGGTGTCAGACTCAGTTCACCAAAATGAGTAATTTATGACTATACTATGAAAATTTCTGATATTTTGCTGTAGCATTTTCTGTAAAAAATACAGTATGATCAATGCATTCTTAAACAGAGGGATATTTAATAATTAACTTTTAGTTGAAAATATTCTCTTTTCTTCAGAAATCTAGTTTGATCTTAATACACTGATGCTGAGTGTATAAATCCTTAGTTTCTAAGTAGTGACAAATTCTCAATCAGTAGAAAGCGTGGAGCCTGAAATTTCTCACTTAACATGGGATTTTAATTCACATATGGTAAGAACAAACTTTTCCAGAGTTATCGAAAAATGATAAACCAAGACAAACTAAAATCATTACATTTGGCTATTTAAATAAAATATCTTCAAGTATTTCAACTTCTAGTTGTCAGCTGTCAAAGAAGTCGTTTAAAATAATGCATGAGTAAAATGATAATGCAAGTTGTAATATATCAAATTATGAAATAATTGTGCAAAACAGTATTACTTAAGATACCAGAGATAAAGTATCAGAGAAAATGCCAGAAGTTACCATCTAATATCTTTTTTCTTGCATTAGAAACACAATCGAAAACATAAAAATTTTGAAGTGTATTATTTTATACTTAATTCTTGACATAATTATTGAAGTATACATTTTCAAGCCCTGCAAATACTTAAAACCACACTGGTTCTATCCCTAATGCTATTCTTTCGCATATTTCTGTGTTCCCTAAGCAGCAACAGCTCAACAAAAAAAGGCTTCACAAGATCCAAACCAATGGCATTGACCCTTTTAATACTTGTATCACAAAGAAAATTACTCAGACAATTATTTCAGTTTTTACTAGCTTTGGGCCAAAGTCAATTGATGGCTCTGATTTCCAATGAGTTTTAATGGGTGACAATATTTGTAAATTCTTTAAAATGTTTTGGAAATCAGATGATGTAATTACTCCATAATTTCACCAGGGCATACCCTGTTTGTTGTCAGAGGATCCTAGCATGTGTTTTTGTGAAGTCACCATTAAGAAATCTATTAATATTTTATCTATACTGCACTCATTCCATATCCTTTGGCCTGAGTGCTTTCATTAGAGGAAGAGCTTCTTCTTCCTAATGAAAATAATCATGAACTATGCCACTAAGCAAATGCACTTGTCTTGCTATTAATGACTTATTTTGCAATTATGATGACAAATTCAGCATTTTGCACTAAACTTTAACCTTTTCTTTTTAGCCTTCCAAACCTTTCATCACCGTGACACTGTTACGAAATGCGGAGACTTATTTGTATTCGTAAAGATATGAATTCAAAGGGCAGGCAGAATACAGCTTTGATAAACACAAGTTTGCTGGGGAAAAGCATGGTACTTTCATCTTGAGCAATATTGTACTTTATCAACTGCAATTAATACTAACAAGCCACCAACTTGGAATTACAAATAGTTACACACATTTCCACTACTGTAATGCAACTAATAAACTAGTATTACAGAAAGGCAAATATTATTTAAAAGTACGAAGTGACAACATATGTTTGTAAACTTATTTCTTTGAGAAAACACAGAATGAGTGTTTATTTTTACTATATTAATATTAACTATGTAAAGATGACTAAAAGATTACCTATATTTAAGAGAAAAGATGGGCTATAAAACACTATGAAAATAACTCTCAAACACATTTACTACTAAGACTAATACTTGGTTACAACAATGCTTTGGCAATAATCTGTCTATTACTTCCTTTCCATATAAATATTAAACTGATATTCCATAAAGTTGTTTTCCATTCATGTCACTTAGTTTTATACTATACAAAACATATACAAAAATTCTAATTATTTATTTACATAATACATTTTTATATCACTTGTCATTTATTTTTAGTCATAAGAAAACACATGAAGTGGTTAAAGTGAGCATGGAATATACATAAATTAATACTTGATTAAAATCTTCCAATAAAATGTTAAGGTAGGACTGAATGTTTGAAGTCACTTGTAACTACAGGACTCTCATGATAGTCAGTCGATTGAAACTACAGTAATAACTTCATAAAACTGACAGATTAATGCACATTAAAATGGAAGGGGCAGAGCAAAACTTGACAAAATTCTCTGATACTTAAAAAAATAGTTATAGTTTAATTACAGATCAGGAGGATCAATAAGTAAAAAGCAACATCTCCCAGAATTAATTGCATTCATGTTGTAAGTAATTTTTTGCAAACGAAAATTATAGTACCTTACCTTCTGTGATAAAAATTACACACGTTTCAAGAAAAAAATCTTAGCATTCAAACATTCTTAACAACTTAATAGTTATTGTCACAGAACTCAAATGCTCTTAAAAATACCTGGAAATCCAAAATCCTGAAATCTGAATGCCAAATATCTATCCATTACCTTTCTTGGATGCTTCAAAACTGTCATAGAGATTTATCTTCTGGGTGTCATAGGTCAGAGTGGTGTTGGGCAGCAAAGTTCTGTTTCTGTTGATGGTGTTCACAGCAAATCTGAACGCAAGTTCCTCAGCACCCATGGGGCCAGATTCCACATATTCAAAAATGCCACCTGCAACAATAAAGAGAACAATCTCCCAGTTCTTAGAACACACAGAAAATGTCAGAAGTTTCCTGTTTTTGTGTATGGCTGCGTGTGATTTAAATACACAGGGTTTATACTTTTTGTTAAGTCCACATTGGCAAAATTGTCCTGGTTTTGTAGGCAAATTTCAGAATTAACAATAATCTGTAACTACTTAAAACACAAAGCTAAGAATTGAGGAAATGGAATAAAATTTGTCTCCACTGACTCAGAAGTTAGAATTCTTCAGCACAAATCTTACGATGCTTATTTTATTAACAGTCCCAAATATCTGCAAACCCCAGGACCTTACTATAAGAATGAGAACAAAGTAGAAAGAACGGCTAAGTCCTTTTTTTTTGGAGAACACATGACATTTATAAAACACACCACTCAAGAAAAAAAAGCAAAACCTTTCATCAATAAGTACCACGGTAGCATATCACTTTGGCCACAAAATGTGCCACGTAATTTGAAAACACGTCCCCTCAGTCTGCTGGCTTCCACCAGCTGCTCGGCAGCCGTATCACTGGGTTGTGTTCCTGCCTTCCCCCGTTCTGATACCACGGCTCTCTTTTCAGCTGGCAGCAAATGGAAACTTTTGGCTCCAACAGAAACTCTAATTATTTGTTTTGTGGATGGAATAAAAGGGGAAAAACTTGATACTGAACTTTCTTCAACCTGTGTCACTGTGATACTAGTATTCTGAAAATAAATTAGAGCATTTATCTTTCTACACCTTAAATTTCACATCATATACTTTCATCACAATCATTCACAAATTAAACTCCCTTGAATAAGCCAGTTCCACAGCCAGCAATTCACATCTTACCAAGATGCATGAAGGTCAGATCACAATTAGCAAAGTACTTATTCAGACTTAATAAGAAGTCATGATTGTAATAACTCCTCTACCTATGAAGCCTGAGATCTCAGAAGAGACCACAGGGTTATGACATGTTTATAATCAGAAGGCACAGGAAAATTTGCTACTTGATACTGTTTTAGTGTGAAATTCTTTTATTTTTTCAGATTTTAAACAATTTGATGGTATAGTTATGACAGCAATTAATTTCCTCTGAGGTAGTACCATGAAAATAGTTAAAGCAATCAGTTACTTATGTTAAACTGAGGATAACAAATATTTACATATCCAGTGAGTGTTCCAAGCCAAACTATATCATTTTTATATGGAGCCAGACTAGGTTCATATTTTTGGATCTTTGAGTTGCTTCTGGTTGAATTTGGGCAGTTGGACTAAACCTCAGTCTGAGATTATTCATTATTTTTGAAAAATGGATAATGAGAAGCTACTACATAAGAGTTGTAGAGGGGAAAGGTTATCTCATAAAATCATGGGAAGATGAACTACCAAGTATAAGCACTGGATATGTATAATATGTTCCACTGAACCCCTAAAACTATTGGAAGCAGTACTGTTTTACAAGATAGGACTCTTAGGCCAAAGATCATGCATTTAATAAGTGCTGTAATCTGTCCATGCTGCACTCAAAATCTTGCTTAAACCACTAGAAACTAGTAGTTTTCCTCCAAATGTCACTCTGGAAAAACATCCAAAATTGCATCAAATATGAGATAACTTCAGCATGGAATGAGGTGAAATTAGAAATATAAAATCTTATATAAAGAATAGAAAAAACTAACTGTAAAGCATCATAAAGTTAATTAGGAACAAAAATCCAATTACACGATAACTTTCGATTAACAAAATGAAATAAAAAGTGAATCTTCTACATTCCTCAATTCAGAGCTTTAATTTCTCTATGATACAAGGTACAGAGAAGGTCAGTGTTTGACAGGTTAAAATTTTCTTAACCTTTACTTCTTTCCAGTATAAATAATGCAGACTTCAAGATCACATATTTATCACCCCTTTGAATATTTAAAAAAGCCTTTGAAATTCTTTGGCATAACCAATTTTCTACCTTAATTAAAATGAATAATTAATTCATATTTACTCAAAATCAGAGTCTAATGTTTCATCTAGGAAAAATCTTCAAACATCCATATAAAGGGAATTTTATAGGCAAGTTATCTTCCATAACCACAGAACAACAACTGAAGCAAAGAAAGAGAAATTTCAAATAGCTCTATGCCCTTGTCATGTGCAAAGCAAGTTTTGATAGAGTGATGGTTAAGCTTAATTATTAACTTAATCAGCTGAGAAGCCACATTTGTGGGTGTGTCTGGGTAGATCAGAAGAATCATTACCTTTGAGACTCTAAAAAGTTGAGTAGATTTCAGAAGCCTATTAGCAGTAAAAATGTTTTTCAATTATTTTTTTTTTTTGAATTTTGGAACATCGTAATAACATTCAACACATGAATCAGTCAAAGAACAAAAAAGCATAATCACCATGGTAGATGTTATAAAGACACGTAAGAGATAATGCTGATAATCGCTTATTTTAAAACGACTTCTAGAAAACAAATAGGAATGCTGATGCCTTATTAATGTAAAAATCACAAAATAAGGTTTACCATCCATAAATAGTAGGGGACAACATAAGAATTCCTATAATATTCATGTTCTTTTCACTAAAGCATTGTTTGTACCAAATAAAATAACAAAACTGAAAGAATGTATTCCTGATACACTTTCACTTAAGTACTAAGATGAAATAAGCCAGTTCTTTAAGTGGAAAAAGAATAATTATAGAGGAACCGCTATGATGCTTACATAAATAAAGTATTAGAGAGTAAACATGAATTTATAAATATTAATTTTGACTCTAAATACAACATTATCCTCTGAAAATTATCATGAATTAAAGTTCATGAAAAACTGCAACAAGTGACAAGTACATAAACAAGATTAAAGATTGTAATGTTTTAGCAATAGTAAAATTAAGGTAAAAGGAATATTTGTTTAGAGTGTATATTGTAAAATAGAACTAAGACTAAAAAACTATGAAGTAGCATGTAATCAGAAGTTAATATGAAAAATGACAAAATATTTTGCCTAAAACGGATAAGGAAAAGGAAATAAAAACACATATTCAATATATATCCAAATAGTAACATGGTACTGTCAATATACTAGAAAAAAGAAAAACTGACATCAAAGAACTACCATTCTATCTAAAATAACTTTAAAAATGATCAGATCTCCTACATTGAAAATACACAAGTTCTGTGAATTAGCAGTTCATCGTGGGCTATATATTCTATAGAAATATGTACTTAGACTCATCAAAAAATTCATACCAGAAAGTTCAAAACAATACGAAGTACATAAATCAACCAAGAACTATATAGAGTGGCATGAGATAAACCCCACAAAAAAACATATTAAAGGAAAGAAGCCATGCACAAAAAAAGAGTTCTGTGTGGTTTTATGTCCAAAATATTAAATAGAAAGGTTTTGATGGAATTAGTGGAGTAAATGGTAAGGAAGGGATGTGAAGTATTTTTACAGTGCCGTGGTCTGCTTCTCAGTCTGGGTGCCTCGCTACCTTCCATTAGAGTACTATTTCGGCAGGGATAGATCATTCATTTAAAGATTCGGTTTTAAAAAACCGCATAAAAGTTTGATACCAAAAGCAGTAATTTTTTTAAAAATTTTATTTAAAGAAAGACTAAACAAAACAGAAAATGGATAGAAATAACACACACGTTCAGAGAAGAAACAGTAAGAAATAACTAGCTAACGTTTACATGCTGTCCTTTCACAAATAGTTGTTCAGGATACAAAAGTGGAACATATAAAGTGGGGAACAATAAACAAAACTGATAATGGGTAGAAATAATACATACTTTCAAAGAAAAAAATAAATACAGGAAATCACTAGTTGATGATTACAGAGTGTCCTCTTATAAAAAGCAGTAAAAATTAAGGCAATATTACTGAAAGCAAACTGAGTATTTAAAAAACCTACCATCAAATATATAATGAGAATTAAAGAATACAAATAAGAAAATACACTAAAACTTTGAATTGCAACTAACTTTTCCCACTAGTGTTACTCAAGACGAGAAAACATTTCTAAAAATTTTTAATTTGATAAATGAGTGACATCTTGAAATATAATTAGTATATGACATTGAATATCACGTGATCGTAATTGAGCCAGTAGTGTTCTCTCTTAACTTGTAAAAATATTTTTAAGTCATTTATTGAACTATTTTTTTAAAAAAAACTTTAGATGGTAGCAGCTGCCCCAAACTGAAACAAAGCCATCAAAAATGTTATTCAACATCCTCAATGCAATCCATTATGTTTTTGTACTTGGAATATAAACTTTTTTTTTTTTTTTTTTGGTCTTTGTCCTTTTTATTGGTACCAGGGATTGAACTCACGACTGTGTGCTTGCAAGGCAGGTGCTTATGCCGCTGAGCTAAATCCCCAGCCCCTGGAATATAAACTTTTGACATTAAATGATTGAACAAATAGTGATGCATACTACATTATTCAAAAAGACTTTATCCATTTCTCATTAAAAAGTCATTTTGCAAATGGCTTCGGCTTTATCAACAATCTCACTGACAGATTCCACACTTCATGCTTTCAAAATAAAAAGTAGCCTGAAACTAATTTTAAGGTTTTTTATTACTGACATTAATGAGCACTATTCAGGGATATAGTAGTTTAACATTTTATAATATAAGCAGCAATAAGTTACTGATATCTGCTAACAAATTCCACATAATATAAACAAGATACACTGAAAAAGACATTCTGTAAATTTCAACATGCTATTTATATGCTATAATGCACAAGAAGTGACACACTAATGTCCCTTCTGTTTCTTTCTTTCTCTGTCTTTCACCTGAGTGATCATCTCCTACCAGCAACAGGTTATGGAGGAGATCTCATCTGCAGAGAAAGAGAACAAGGCAGAGCAATGCCACACTTCAGATCACACCAGGGAGACGTGCAAAACAAGGGGAACAGTGCAAAATCTTGTAGAAAAGCACCATTCAAATAAGACTGAAACAGTATGAGTGATGAATCTGTTTAAGGACAAT